CGCTCCTGGGGACCCAGTGTGAGTGTCATAGCCATCTTCCAGGCCAGGAGAGGTGCCTTACCATCATTCCACACACAGGACTGGGTGGAAAGAAGGACAAGTGTGTTTCTGTGGGGACACCCCCATGGCTGCCAGCCTTCTCTGCCCACCTGGGTCCCGCCAAGGCCTGCTAATCAGGGGACAGGCCCTCACCCGACTGAGCACAGGACTGGCCCTGGGAGGCTCTGTGCTGGGGGGCTCTCTGGCCATGCAGAGGCAGCCAGAGGGGAGGCAGGTGGTGAGTCTGTAGGCCACTGAGCCACAAGATGGCTCTGTTTTTAGCCAGGCACTGCCCAAGGTCATGGTCTCCTTCCCAAGTGGGAAGCAGGTCAGCTGGTGCTGGGGAGGCGGGGCTGCTGGGAGGCAGGCACTGGCTGGAGCACAGCCATGCTGGTGCCTGGCACAAGTATGACCTGTCTCCCCGCCAGCAAAGATGGCGGATTCGGATCCGCTGGGACCTACCCGGCTCAGCACAGGCCTCTGGTCCACCAACCATTCTGCTCTTCTTCAACCAGGGATTATTCCTAAACTTCCATTTGTGCAAAGACAAAAGACAATTGTCGTTGATGCCCTAGAGGTAGGGGGAGGTGGCCTCTGGGGGAGGCGACAGGCCTGAGTGTGTGTAAGCCCCAGACCCACATGTCAAAGCCCTGACCCTTGATGTGAAGAGGTGGGAACTTCGGAGGCCCTTAGGCTCAGATGAGGTCAGGAGGTGGAGCCCAAGGGGAGAAAGGAGCCAGGCCTCTGCATGGCCACTAGGGGAGGGCATGTGTAGGATCCTGGAAGAGCCCAGTGTGCTGGCGCTGGAGGTGTAAGCATCCTTATCTAAGGTGCCAGTCTGGGGTTCCAAGATAGCTGAGAAGGGAATGGGCCTGGCCTCCGTGGGCCCATGCTCTGAGTAGGTGCCTTGGGGAGGGGCGTGCTGCCCCTCTCTGGATGCTAATAACTGATCACTTTATAAGATGCCTGCAGGCCTATGGACAATGCTGCCATCTGAGCCTCCTTCCAAGGTCAAGTATCCTGGGTCCTGGACCCTCCAAGGATGGGGGTCAAGATCTATTCCCCTCTATATTAAATTTAATAGCATATAAAATCCAGCTCCCACAGGCTGGGGCTCGGCTCAACATGGAGTGCTCACCTAGCATGTGCGAGGCCCTGGGTTCGATCCTCAGCACCACATAAAAAATAAATAAATAAAATGAAGGTATTGTGTCCAACAACAACTAAAACATTAAAAAAAAAAAAAAAGATCCAGCTCCCCGGCCAGGTTAGCTGCCCGTCAGGTGCTCAAGAGCCACATGTGGCCAGTGGCTATCAGTGGAGGGTGGGCGTGGAGCACCCCAGGTTCTGCTGATGGCTTTGCTATCTTGAAACTTGCAGAGTGGGTGCCCTAGGGTGAGCCACAGAGGGAGGTGCCTGAGCAGGGGCTCAGGGGTACAGCAGTGGAGTAGGAGAAGCTTCTCGGAGAGGCCTCCCTTGCTTGGAGGCTCCTGGCTCCCTGGAGCGGAACAGCCCTCAGCTGCACCTCACCTAGAGCTGCAGAGCCTCCCTTGGCTTCCATGCATGGTCCTAAGTCTGCTCCCAGCTAATCAGAGATTTCCAGCTGAGGCTACACTTGTCTAGGCCAGTGAGGCTCCTCTTGGAGGGCTGGGTCAACCCAGACTCCTGGGCTCCACTTGGTTTCTGATGGGCAGCTCCGGGAGGAGCCAGAGACTGCCCTTCTTCGGAGGTCTGCAGCGATGCTGACACACACAGGGATCCCGCTCTGAGAACCATTGCTATGATCTAAAGAGTAACATTCCTGGGCTTTTTTAATGCCAGAGAGAGAGAGAGAGAGAGAGAGAGAGAGAGAGAGAGAGAGATAGTGCTGCATTGCCAGGGGCTCTTCCAGCGCTGGGACCTGGCTGTGACCTGGCTGTGACAGCCAGATCTCTCTGGACTGCCCTGCTCCACTCTCAGCCTTTACATTTGGAAAATGTGACTAGTTAAAAACCAGGTCATCCGCCTTGTCCATGGCTAGGTTTCAAAGACAAATTGGATTGTGTGTGTGTGTGTGGACACAGGATATGCAGGACACTTACACCATAGACCCGAGCTCAGCCAGCAGATGCCCCCATTGTGAGCAAGCCATGCCATAAACAGACCAGATACACCTGTGTCTTTCTACAATGTCAGATTCATTGAATAACAATAAATTCACAGGCTACACACTTGCAGTTGTTGTGATTCACTGAATGCCGGTGGGTCAAGTGACAGAGGCCAGGCACCCACAAGTCCTTTTCTTCCATTCCACACTTCATTTCTAATATCTGAAACACTCAAGGCACACACTGCACTTCATACAATTTACATATAAGAAACAGACTGAAAAAGGGTAAGGCAGCTTCAGGATCAGAGGGCGCTGGGCCAGCTGCACAGGCAGAAGGATGTGGACACAGAGCAGAAGGGTCAAGGCGGAGGTCAGATAAGGGTCAAGGAACTCTTTGCACAGAGTTGCCCAGGCAGTGGACCTTGGTGGATACCAGTTTGTTTCAGAGTATGAGTTTGAAGTGTCAGATAGAGGTGTCCCCTTGGAGGGGCCAGGAGAAAAATGCTGTAAAAGCCCAAGAACAGAACTGGAGGTTCACTGCTGTGGCAATTCTCCTGGGCAAGGCTTGTGAGGAGTGACCAGATGACAGAGTACAGGTGCCACCGTGTCCAGCCTCAGGGGGCTCCTCCTTTAATGGGCCTTGGGTAAGCAGGTTCTGTCTGGTGAGTTTGATAAGCTCCCATGTCTGGTGTTCCTGATGAGATTTGGGATGGCCACATGTCCAGGTATTCCTGATTTAGTTTGATAGGTTGGCATACGTAAATTATCTGTCAATTTGTGCCTTATGGTGGTGCCAGGCAGATGATGGTTGTTCAAACAAAGAGTAGAGTCTTTCTACCTTGGCACCTGTACTGGAAATAGAGTGACTCAGGGCAAATTCCTGTTGCATGAAATGGAGTCACTGAGGAAAATGCACAGCCTGAGAACTGCTGTTCTACACCATGGAATCACCCAGGACAGGCACAGCCTGAGGACTGCTGTTCTGCACACCATGAAGTCACCAGGGTAGGCACAGCCTGAGGACTGCTGTTCTGTACACTATGGAGTCACCAGGGTAGGCACAGCCTGAGGACTGCTGTCCTATACACCATGGAGTCACTGGGGCAGGAGCAGCCTGAGAGCTGCTGTTCTGCACACCATGGAGTCAGTCAGGGCAAGTGCAGCCTGAGGACTGCTATTCTACACACCATGGAGTCACTCAAGGCAGGTGCAGATTGAGAACTACTGTTCTACACACCATGGAGTCACTAGGGCAGGTACAGCCTAAGGACTGCCGTTCTGCACACCATGGAGTCACCAGGGCAGGTGCAGCCTGAGGACTGCTGTTCTGCACACCATGGAGTCACTCAGGGCAGGCACAACCTGAGGACTGCTGTTCTACACACCATGAAGTCACTCAGGGCAGGCACAACCTGAGGACTGCTATTCCACACACCATGGAGTCACCAGGGCAGGTGCAGCCTGAGGACTACTGTTCTGCACACCATGGAGTCACCCAGGGCAGGCACAACCTGAGAACTGCTGTTCTGCACACCATGGAGTCACCAGGGCAGGTGCAGCCTGAGGACTGCTCTTCTGCACACCATGGAGTCACTCAGGGCAGGCACAACCTGAAGACTGCTATTCCACACACCATGGAGTCACCCAGGGCAGGTGTAGCCTGAGAGCTGCTGATTTATGCACCATAGAGTCACGAGGACAGGCGCAGCCTGAGAGCTGATGTTCCACACACCATGGAGTCACTCAGGGCAGGGACAGCCTGATAGCTGCTGTTTCATACACCATGGAGTCACCCAGGGCAGGAACATCCTGAGAACTGCTGTTCCACACACCATGGAGTCATCAGGGCAGGCGAAGCCCGAGGACTGCTGTTCCACACACCATGGAGTCATCAGGGCAGGCACAGACTGAGGACTTCTGTTCTGTACACCATGGAGTCACCCAGGGCAGGCGCAGCTTGAGGACTGCCATCCTACCCACCAAGAAGTCACCAGGGCAGGTGCAGCCTGAGAGCTGCTATCTAACACACCATGGAGTCACTAGGGTAGGCGTAATCTGAGGACTGCTGTTGTACACATCATGGAGTCACCCAGGGCAGACACAGCCTGAGAGCTGCTCTTCCACACACCATGGAATCACTCAGGGCAAGCACAGTCTCAGGACTGCTGTCCTACACACCATGGAATCACCCAGGGCAGGCATAGCCTGAGAGCTGCTGTTCTACCCACCATGGAGTCCTGCAGATGGGGGTACAGGTCACTTTCCACATATCCTATTTTGCAGCAGCTGGTCTTGGGTTCAGAAGTCCCCTCTGTGGCTCTGATGGCCACTCCCTTCTCATCGGGCTCATGGTCAGACACTGGCAGCTACTAGAGAATGGTATAGGCCCAATTCACCTCTAGGGCCACGGGCCTCTCTTTGTTCCTCCCTCTGGTGTGCCCATAGGTTGAATGTGACTGTGCAGAAACAGGGAGAGTGGAGGTTGACTTGGGGTACAGAATGGTCATAGCATCTCAACTGTTGAGAGATAGACCTGCCACAGAAGAGTGGGGCCTAGGCCAGGCGACAGGCTCATTTGTCTCCTTGTCCTGGGCTGAGTCCACCCGGGACAGGTCTGTTGCCTTCCGCAGCTAGTGAGCAGTCCTTGCCTCTGCCAGGCCTGGGTCAGAGGGAGGGTGGAGGCCCATCCACATTCTCTAGGCACTCTGGGAAAAGCCATGTGCTCTGGGGCCAGGCCTCAGTCATACTCCCTTTATAGAGGAGGACGACTTGCACAGGGAACTCCTGCAGCCCTCGCACAATGTGGCTTCAATGAGGAGGTGCAAACAGTGTTCCCTTGACCCCTCCTTTGACAATGTCGTGTCTCTTCCAGGCCCAGCTCTCTCAGGCCTTAAACGGGGTTTCGGATAAGGCCAAGGAGGCGAAGGAGTTTCTGGTCCAGCTCAAGAACATCCTGCAGCAGATCCAGGTGAGCATGCTCTGGTTCACTCAGCAAGGACAAGTCCCCACCTGCCAGGTAGGAGAAGGAGGGGCAAGCCTTTCAATGAGCACTTGGCCCCACACCAGAGGGCTGGCATGTGCTCACACATCCCTGCATGTCGCCTGCCACTGTCTGCTGACATGCACGAGACATGATGTGGGATGGAGTTTACAGGAGGCCAGCAAGTAGAGGCCACGTGCTGGGGAGCTGGAGAGGTGTGATCCAACTGGGCCACACAGGTGGTGGCAGCGGTGCCCTGTGCCCAAACAGTCCCATGTAATCGTGGCACCAAAATGTAAATCCAGGTGTTCACTGAGCACCTGCACTGTGCCCGACTGAGCCTGAAAAGCACCCTAAGCTCAGTCAGTCTTGCTTCAGGGATCCCAGTGTAGGGGAGGGAGCCCCCACAGGAGGGTGCACACAGGGCAGAGCTGTAACAGATCTGCACAGATGGTGCAAAGGAGATTGAGTTGAATTCCTAGCCCGTGAGAACTTGTGAGCCTTCTGCCACAGTGACAGAAACCTGAGACAGTCAGCTCACGAGGAGGAGAGGCTTGTTCAGGCTCGTGGTTTCAACAGTTTCTGTCCACACTGCTGGACTCCACTGCCTCTGGGCCTGTGGTGGCTCAGTACACCATGATGGGAACAAGTGTCAGAGGCTTCTGGCCTCCTGATGGCTGGGAAGCAGAGAGAGGAGGGGCTGAGGTCCCAAAGTTTTCTTCAGGGGCATGTCCTCAGCAGCCTAATCTCCGCCCACAAGTCCTCCCCGCAAAGGCTCCGCCACCTGCCAGTAGCACCACAGGCTGGGGCCAGGCCTTCGGGGATGCATACGGTCCAAACTAGAGCAAAACCCATCCGCTCATAAACTAGCCTCAGAGGACACCCTCGGGGCATCTGAAGTATGATGTCCCAGTGTTTCACACACAGGATAGGTTAGTTTATCCAGACTCTATCACAGAGCACCAGAGACAGGGCAGCTTGACCAGGACACATGCACTCTCTGTCAGGAAGGCTGGAAGTGACGGCCATGACAGTTGGGTCCCTCCTGAGGCCTCTCCTCGGCTTGCAGATGCTCTCTTCTTCCTAAGTCCCCAGGTGACCTCTGTGTGTCTGTCCTGCTCTCCTTTACTTGTAAGGACCCTGTCAGGTTGGATTGGGACCTGCCTTATTACCTCCTAAAGGCCCCGTCCCCAGGCACAGGTACTTCCAAGGTCCCAGCCTAGGACTTCACCACAACACTGGGGGACTGAAGCAGAGGTCTGGACCCACACTGTCCGAGGTCTGAGGACCTTCCTTCAAGCTGACAGAGCCAGACCTAGAGTGAGGACATTGCTTTTTGTTTGCTTCACCTTTTTCTGATTATAAAAAGCCAAAGTATGTGTCATAGAAATTTTGGAAAGTAGGAAAATAGAGCTGAGTCCCCACCTGTGGGGGATGTGCACACACTAGTGGTGACACTGTGTCTGAAACAGCCTGAGCCTGGCTCTGGAGAGCGTTCCCAGGCGCAAGAGCCTCTGGAATGGTCTGTGAGGGTGACGACCCCCAGGTGTGAGGCCTGCACAGGTCAGCCCTAGGGCACCGGGACCCTCTCCTGTGGGGCAGTATAGGGTGCTCAGGGCTTCTCCCATGGGCTTTTGGTCACCTCCCTCAAGCTCTCTGCCTCCCTAGGAAAATGGGCTGGACTACGAGGCCTGCCTGGTGGCTCAGTGTGACGCCCTGGTGGAGGCTCTGACGCGGCAGAAAGCCAAGTTGCTCACCAAGGTGACAAAAGAGAGGGAGCACAAGTTGAAGGTAGGCAGCTGGGCTGACCCTGGGGTCCCCTTCATGCTCTCCTGCCCAGTGCTGGACCTTAGTTGAGTGGCCAGGGAAGGAAGGACGTGGTGAGGAGGGGCTGAGCCATTGGTGGGTGGTGCTCAGGAGACAGTCACCACCCATGCTCCCTGCAAAGCCAGGGCAGGCAGCAGCAGCCACCATCTCCCATCTCCCACCATCTCCCACCTCCTATCCTCATCTGTAGAGTGGGAGCAACTCGTCACAATGGCAAAGCTGGGCTCTGCTCTGGCTCTGGCTCTGTCCCTTTCTTCAGTTCTCTCTGATGTATATGGCCATCCCTGCCCCACTGCACCCCTGGCAGGTGCCTCTGCGCTCTGAACTGAGGAGGGCTGTCATGCTGGGCCCTCTGGCCCTCCTGTGAGTGTCAGGGGCGTTTCCTAACCAAGCAGGAAGCATTACTTTCGAGGAGAGGAGGAGGGAGTATTGGCGGAAGCCCTGTGTCTGGTGATGCAGCCATCCTGGATCCATCCCTGCCTGCTGGCCAGTGGAGCAAGGCCGGGGTGGCCACTGGCCCAGGTGGAGCTCAGGCCAGCCCTCTCTCCACACTGCTCAGTTCCAGAGTCTGTTGAGGGAAGCGGCCTCTCTAGTCCCCAGTAGGCTGGAGCAGAGTGCAGGAGTGGGCTGGCCAGGGCCCCTCCCCACTGGCTTGCTGACTCTTGGGGCTTGGCTGCTCTTCCTCTGGGAAGGCAGTTGCTGAGAGGAGTCCCTGCTGCAGATGGTTTGGGACCAGATCAACCACTGCACGCTGAAGCTGCGCCAGTCCACAGGGCTGATGGAGTACTGCCTGGAGGTGATGAAGGAGAACGACCCCTCTGGGTTCCTCCAGGTGAGTCGGCCACGCCAGGACGGCCCTGGGTGTCCTCCCACTCACAAGCACCAGCCCCAGGCCAGCCCAGGTGTTAGGCAAGGCCCGTCCACAACGTGACATTGTGGGGAGTCCCTGTGCTTGGGCATGCAGAGGTCCAGCTCACCTTCAGCTGGGGCCCTCAGCAACTCTGACCCTAGTTTTACAGCCTCCATAGAAGGAGAGGTGAGCTAGCATGGTCTCTAGTGGCCAGACGCCAACCATCAACATCTTCCCCATGCATGGGAAGGGCAATCTGCCAGATCAGCCAGAGAGACTGCCCAGGGAGAAGCCAGGTAGAGTCCACACAGCTTCCCCTCAGGGTGCAGTCCTGCAGGCCTGGTCGATGACCAGCTAGTTTAGCTCTCTTGGGGTCACTGCTGTGGCCCTTAGGCTGGCTCGGGGTCATGCATGTCTCTCGGGAACACAGCAGTGATTCAGCCTCTGTCTGGTAATTCCCAAAGAAGTGTGCATGGGGCCCTGGCTCTGCGGCAGGTGTGCAGATGTCTGATGAGCAAAACTTCCCAGCCAGGGAAGAGCTGTGGGTGCAATTCTGCCGGAGTTTGCCGCAAAAACCACAGAATGATCAGAAGAGATGCACTGTGGGGAGTGGGCTTCTGTGTTCAGAGGACCTGGGGCACACTTTCTTCACACTCTGGGACAGACGACTAGCATTTCCTTTGGCATCGTACCAGAGCTGGCAAAGCAGATGTAATCAAGTGTGGTTTTGCATTTTTTTGAAAAGCATCTTTATTTCATGAAAAGGTTTGACCCGATTTCTCTAGTGCTTCTGTACTTTTGTCACCATCACACTGTTGAACCACAATTTGAACAAGACAGTGAGTTTTACCCAGCCAGCGCTGTGCAGTAGGGGTGGCTTCATCTGGCCCTGGCTCAAGGACATGTGCTCAGCACAGCCCCTTCCCATCCCTGAGCCCACAGAGACTAAGCCCTTGGCTCCCGCCCTTCACCCTTCACTGTTTTCTACAAACCCAACCCTCGACCTTTTGCTCCCCTTCAAGATCTCCGATGCTCTGATCAAGCGCGTGCAGTTGTCCCAGGAGCAGTGGGTCAAAGGTGCCCTGGAGCCAAAAGTGTCTGCAGAGTTTGACTTGACCCTGGACAGCGAGCCGCTGCTGCAGGCCATCCACCAGCTGGACTTCATTCAGATGAAATGTAGGGGTGAGCCACGGTTGGCCCTCGTTCAGCCAGTGCTTCTTCCCAAAGGGGCATCTGGTCTGAGGGGCAGTTTGGTGCTGGGAGCCCATGATGCTCTCTGCTACAGGCAGAGTGGCAGGGCAGGGTCACAAGGTGGTGGGCCTGACTGTGGAGCTGGGTGGGTGGTCCTCTGTCTGAGCCTGAGCTTCCTCTTGTGTTCACTCACAATGACCTATGGAGTGTCCACCATGTGCCAGGCTGTGGCAGGTGTCTTGTGTGCAGAACAAGTCTGCAAACTCTCTCCAAAGACTGGGCTGCTGTTCTAGAGAAGGAAGGGGACAGTGCGCAGACAATGAGAGATGTGAGGCCCGGCAGTGGCAGCTGGTGCCAGCGCAGGGTAGAGGGGGCAGTGGTTGCGGGGAGCTGCTTCTCAAGGGGAGGAGAAGGGAGCGGCAGCCTAGTGAGAGCTGAAAGAAGGCACTGGGGCTTCACAGGCAGGGGTAAGTTTCCTGTGTCTCAGAAGAGCAGGAAGGTCAAGGCAAGAACAGAAAGAGGGGTTGGGGCTGGGGCTCAATGGTAGAGCACTAGCCTCACACAGGTGAGGCACCGGGTTCCATCCTCAGCATCACATAAAAATAAATAAAGGTATTGTGTCCATCTACAACTAAAAAATAAATTTAAAAAAAGAGCAGAGGGAGCAGGAGAGGATGGCAGGAACCAAGGAGGTGCACGGTTAGGGTTGGGTAAAGTTTGTAAAACTTGGCAGCCGCAAAGGCAGCAAGGGACAGCCAGAAAGAGTCCTGCCCTGCAGGTGTGTTGGGAGAGGAAGCGAGGGCACCTGCAGGATCTGAGAACCCAGGCAGGCCTGACCTTCAGAGTGTGGGACTCTTGACACCCCAGGCTCGCTCCCACAGTTTGCACCTCCATGAGGTCAAGAAATCCCACCCGCCCCAAGCCACCTGCCCTGAGTGTGAATGAGATGCCGTGCCAAGGATCAGAAGGGCCAGGCAGAGTGGGAATGCTGCAGCGAGGGAGAGACACCAAAGTGGGCGCACCACGGGAGGAGGCTTGGCCATATTCTCATGCTGCTTCTGCAACAGGGAGCCACGGCGAATAGAGACTGTGCTGAGGGCATGGGGAGGGATCTTACAGCCCACCCATGGGCTGGGGTCAGGCTGTGCACAAGGCTGTGCACGGCCACTGAAAGCACACCTGAAATCGGGATTTCAACCAGCTGGACCTTCAGCCAACATCTGGAAAATAGTGACCCATTCTTGGAGTCAAATTGAAATATCAATCTTGTCATTTTTCCTTTTTGAAAATGTCAGAGTGGATTCTATCAATTTCTAAAATCTCTTGAGCCCAAAGAGAGCTAGAACCTACGTTGTCCCCTCTTAGTTCAATAGAGCTCAGGGCACACCTGGTTTGCGTTCCTCATTCCATGGAGTGGCATCCATTGTCCAAGTTCCTCCTCTGTCCCCGGCCCTGTCCAGGGTTGGAAAGCTTCTGGCTGATGGTTGCAGGCATCTCTGCACTCAGCCTGACCTGTGGTGGTCAGTGCTGTATCACAGCACAATGCCTGAGGTGACTGGCCTGGAGCAAAGGTTCACTTGGCTCACAGCCTAGGAGGTTTTAGTCCTAAGTCAGATGGTCCCATGATATGTGTCGAGGGGTCCTAGCACAGTGAAGCTAGGACATGAGAGCCCATGGCCAGGAAGCAAAGGAGAGACAGAGGAAGGGGCTGGTGGCATCAGTTCCCAGTGAAGAGAGGACCTCCCCTGGCCCCACCTCCCAAGGGCTCCCCTATCTCCCAGCAGCACAACCCTGGGGACCAAGCCTTAAATACGGGCCTTGGGGGACACTGAAGGTAAACCGTAGTGTCCCTCTTCCCCGCCCTGGTATAAGGCTGACTCTTGCCTAGTTCTGGGCCCTACCAAAAGGGCTTGCTCAGGCCTGTGCTAGGTGGACTCCACTGAGCTACCTCAAGTGCTCCTCACAGGCCTGAGCATCACTGCCACGGCTCTTGGTGGCAGGTGACAGGCTTGGGGGTAGGCCATGACTCCAGTTCTGAGATCAGGATATGCTGTGGGATGAAGAATGACACAGGACCTGCACTTCCCTATCCCCAGCCCTCCTTGGCCTGGGGGTAACCCAGGTGTTTCCTGGGGTGGGCTGGAGCCTGAGGACAGGGGCGCTGCGCTAACCCAGTGGCCCCGTCACAGTGCCACCCGTCCCTCTGCTGCAACTGGAGAAGTGCTGCACTCGGAACAACAGTGTCACCCTGGCTTGGAGGACGCCGCCCTTCACCCACAGCCCTGTGGATGGCTACATCCTGGAGCTGGACGACGGGGACGGGGGGCAGTTCCGGGTGAGGCCTGCTGCTGGGCATGGGGGGCATCCTAATGATGCTGTGAGTAGGCAACTGAGGCCACCTTGAGGAGGGGTCACAGGATGGAGAGCTGATGGCTGGGCTTGTGGGAGACTGGGCTTCCCTGCTGGGCCCCCGCTGGCAGCAGCTTCTATCATGGAGGACACAGGGATGACTGACATTGGCATGAGGGAGGGACAGAGCCCGGGGACAGCACCGCCTGCAGGCTTCTCCCTCCCATTCCCCCCCCCAGGCCCCCTGCAGGGCAGGCTTCCTCTTGCCTCATCTCGACCATGTCATTGCCATTTAGGGGATAGGCTTGTCTCAGGGGGTCACATTGTAGAGGAGGAGGCTCTTGCTAGGCCTCAAATATCTGGCAAGGGGCTGGGTGTGTAGAAATCAAAAATGACTGTTGGTTTGGGGTGACATACTGCACTCATGGCCCCCTAGTGGACTGACTTGGGGACTGTAAGGGCTCTTAGGGAGCCTGAGTGCATCTTCTTCTCTGCATGCCAGAAACCCTAGACACCCCTGACCCCACCAGGTCAGACCTCTGCAGGACTGTCCCTGGAGCTTCCACTTGGCTAGGCCCAGGTGCACATGTGTGCAGGGAGCATAGCCCTGGACTTTCTCCATTGCCTCCTGGCCAGCCCCTGCCCACTGGACCAACAGCCACTGGATTTCTTGCAGTCCTTCCCCAGGGAACCTCCCCCACTGAGCAGTTTGCCAAAGATCAGGGCTCCCTTAGTGTCTCTCAAAGGGATTTATGTATCTGTCATTTCATTTTTTGTTTGAAAAATACAAGCATGTACGAATTGGGGAACTAACCATGCAGTTCCTTGAGAATCGCCGAGTGTGGGTGGGCATGGGCTAGCGGGGTGTGAGTTGGAAATAGTGTTCTATTGGGGGGTACACACCTTGGTCCCTCTGTGGTGCTCCCCCATCAGACAGCAGGTATGGGAATAGAGTGATCTTCCTCACTCAGGAAGTGTATGTGGGCAAGGAGACCCTGTGCACCATTGATGGGCTACACTTCAATAGCACCTACAACGCCAGAGTCAAGGCCTTCAGCAGTGCCGGCCTCGGGCCCTACAGTAAAACCGTGGTCCTGCAGACGTCCGATGGTGAGCACTAGCTCTGGGGAGGGGCCATTCTTTCCTGCTGTGTGTGCCTCCTCAAGACCTGGGGCTTGGGGGCAGGAGGGTGCCACCCGTGGGCTGCAGAGGACGGAGCCTTGTGACCTGGGCCCCATGAGCTGGGTGTCTGCGGACTTCCTCTTTCACTCCTAGCATCTCTGAAGTGTTTGGGAGGTATTGGGAACCAGGACTCCCTGAGGTGTCCCAGGTTGGGACTGGAAGCCTGGTTGTCTGTTTCTTGACAAGGCTGAGGGACAGGCACCTGGAGAACACAGGGCAGGAAGTGGGTGTGTGTTTTCCATGTGGAGACCTCAGGATGTGGCTGGGGATTGGTAAGTCTGCCTCTGAGCACATTAGAGGCTGCCAGCAAATTCCATGGCCTTACCCTGCTTCTCTTGCCTTCTTCCTTTCCAGTGGCCTGGTTCACATTTGACCCCAATTCTGGGCACCGGGACATCATTTTATCCAATGACAACCAGACAGCCACCTGCAGCAGCTATGATGACCGGGTGGTGCTGGGCACAGCCGCCTTCTCCAAGGGAGCGCACTACTGGGAGCTGCATGTGGACCGCTATGACAACCACCCAGACCCCGCCTTTGGGGTGGCCAGGGCCAGTGTGGCCAAGGACATGATGCTGGGCAAGGACGACAGGGCCTGGGCCATGTATGTGGACAACCACCGCAGCTGGTTCATGCACTGCAACTCCCACACCAACAGGTGCGTGGCTTGCTGCCCCCCCTAGACATGCAAGTGGGTCTTCAGGTCCTAGTGGTCTGACAAGGACCAGGGAGAAGTGACTACTTCCTGCAGCCCCAATGAGAGCAGATGACAGTGATGGGAGCCACACCTGCCCAGTAGGCAGCTGCGGGGTAGCTTTCTTTCTGATTTCACTCCACTGCACAGTCATCCAGTCAAGCCTGTGTTCTGTGGGGCTTTGCAGAGGGGGCACACATCACTGCCATTGCTGGTGGAACACTGTTACTACCCCAAGGGATGAGGAGCCTCAGGGAGCTGACTCACTGGGCCCCAGCTCCAGCGTGCTCTGGGCCCACCAGCTCCTGCAAATAGCCCCCCGGGCACCTTCTTCACCTGGGAGGACCCAGCTGAATTCAGGGAAGCCAGGTCTGGTCTGGCCAGAAACTGGTCTGAGGGCGCTCAGAACCACATGCTGCCCACTGCCTTTTCACTGGTAATGTCCTTGGCTCCAAACCTTGGGAAGCTCTGTCCCTCTGTGTACTGCCCCCACTCCCTCTATCCCTGGCCCATTGTGGGGCCAGGTCCAAACCCACCAGCCCTATAACTTCTTGCTTAAGCCAAACCAGCACCCAGAGACAGTCGCCTATGAGAGTGACAACCTCCTTTAACCCTATGAAGTAGTTAGCATAGCCATTTCAGAGACACTGGCCCAGCCACAGGGACTGAACCGAGGATCCCAGCCCCTTCTCAGGGTGGCGTGGGCACACCCCTGCCAGTGGGCGGACAGCCTTCTTGGTCTTTCGCTACCCTTGCCAGCCCATGAGTGCCTTAGCAGTGGGATCTCTAAGAAATGGGGGCCAGAAGAGAGCACAGGGGAATCACTCTTTATACCCCACCCCCACACCGTGGGTGTGGAGCAGGTGCAGGGAAGCGCCTTTCCAGAGGAGGCCTGCTGCCCTCATCACAGCACTGGGGAGTCCCTAAGAAGAGCACCGAGAGCCCAGTTGTAGTTCCCTCCTCCTGGGTGTGGGATAGGGCCCTGACCCTGAGCCCAGCCCTCCAGGAAACCTGGCTCTGGAGAAACACCCTCCTGATTAGCCAGGTCTTCTCAGATCTTCTCATTGCTCAGGTGGCTGTCCAGCTGCCCGTAGCTGAAGGGGGGGATAGCCTCAACCCAGGGGGACAGGGCGAGGTTGGCCAGGACCTTGGGAGCATTCCTCACTTAAAATCCCTCCCCACCCAGAGGATGCTCTCTGCTTCTCTCCAGCCCAGAGTGCAATCCATCAACTCTGTCAAGCACAGGGCTGCTGACATAGTCCCTGGTTGTCCCTGCCACTGCAGGATGAGGACCAAAGGGCTTGATTCACTACTCAATGCCTGCCCCTGCCACATCCTGCTCTTCAAGAGTCCCTAGGGTGGTTCTGGGGAGGACAGCTGGAGGGTGGGGTCTTTCTGCAGGCTGGGCATCTGCACGTCCATCAGGGCCAGCAGCTTCATGGGGCTAGGGAGAAAGGGGGACCAAATGAATTCTTTTCCTTGGCAGTACCCATCCCACCTCCAGTTTCAGATGGAACCCTCCTGGCGAAACCTTAGTTCCCTGGGGCACAGGTCTCAGATCTGTTGGAAAGAAGGGGTTGAGAGCTGTTGCCTCAGGGTAGAGTCTGGTGTGTGGCCAGTTCACGGGGTACTGCCAGAGGAGGCTCCCAAACCAGCATGAATATTCCCTGCCCCTAGGTATTGAGTTTGAGGTGGGGCTGTCCTGTTGTCCCTGGCCTCAACAGCCTTGGGTTCTCCTGTAACTCTGTGCCGCTCAGTGTGTCCAGGATCCTTCCCTGCTTTCCTGTGTGGGGACTCCCTGTTCACTTGTCATTCCAAGCTCTTGACAGCACCCTGGGACAGCCAGGCAATAGGTCTTCCTGGCACTTCTCTCCTCAGGACGGAAGGCGGAGTGTGCAAGGGGGCCACAGTGGGCGTGCTGCTGGACCTGAATAAGCACACCCTGACCTTCTTCATCAATGGGCAGCAGCAGGGACCCACGGCCTTCAGCCACGTGGATGGAGTCTTCATGCCAGCCCTCAGCCTAAACCGCAATGTTCAGGTACCTCATGCCTCTCCAGGCCCCGAATGGCTGGGGGGCCAGCTCCTTGATGCTCATCCACCAGCCACTGCCACACACTTGAGCCAAGTGGACTAGAGCCTCCTGAAGGCAGTCCTCTGCCAGGATGCACTGTGAGGTGTTCACTTGGAATGAGCAGGGCTCTGTGGTGGCAGTGTGTGGAGGAGCTGGGCTCAGGGCCTGGGCAGGTGCCGATGGTGTTGAGGCCTGGGACAGAGGTGCCACGACCAGCAGAGGATGGGCATGGGGGAGAGAACTGTGACGTGAGGACTGGCTGCCATCCTTAGCCTCTAGCAGAGTCATCTGGCTGGGCAGGGGTAGATCTGTCTTGTGCCTGCTGAGCCTGCACAGGGTTGAGGCCACAGCAATTTAAGAAGGTCCTCGAGGTGTGCTGCAAGGCGGGCTGCTAGTCTACAGGAGTGGGGAACAGCACAGCCCCAGGAGACAGGGAAGGAAAGAGGGCAGCAGGAAGACGGCAGGCATAAGTGCCCAGCCATGAGAACCAGTCGCCTGCTCAGCAGCGTGACCATTGCTAACAATGCTGGAAGCGTGGTCAGCCACTCGCACGGCTCCTACTGTGAGGAAAGAGGCCTAAGCCAACCAGAACCTTAACTAGCATGTCAAGTGGCCCAATGAGTAAAGGCACCCAGGCAGAGCCACCCTGGGCTTCACCCATGACGCCCTCCAGCAGAGGGCAGCCTATGACTCTGTGCTGGGGCAGCACCCTGTGTCCATGGCAGCCTCTCAGCAACCCCTTTTTTTCTAGGTCACCTTGCACACAGGACTGGAAGTGCCAACCAACCTGGGGCGGCCAAAGCTGTCAGGCAACTAGCCTGGCAACTCCGGCTGACCAGCAACTGTGCTGAGACACCTGCAGACCAAGTGCACTCTGTCCCCACTAAGCTCACATAGCTCAGCAGGCACAACAGGCAAGCCCTGGGCATAGCCAGCCGGGAACAAACATCTGGAGCCCGCTTCTTCAGGGGATGGGATTGGTCTGCAGGCCACATGGTGGCTGCCAACGTCAGTGGTTAACAGGGCAGGGCTTCACCTTCATCTACTCAGTGTTAGAGATTCTCCACCCAGGACTTTCCAAGAATGGAGGCCTTCAGGGTTCATGTGTATGTTTCCTGCCATCTGTTTGCAACATTTGTTTGGTTTTGAATGGAAAGAGGAAGGCTGGCTTTGAGACTTGTGTCCTGAGAGGAGCCAGGGAGCTACTGCGCCAGCCCAGGCCTGGGTGCTGGCTCTCTCTGCCTCTGCTCTTGCCTGAGTCCTGAACTGGCAGGGGCACATGTCTTCTGAGAGAAGTTGCTCTTTAGCATTTGGTCCTAGAATTTTGCAGACCTGATTTGGGACTGACTGACAGGGACACTGATCCTTAACGCTTGATTTCTGCCTCTCACTGAACTGCTGCGGACTTTGGAAAGAACCCCCTGGCCTCTCCTGAGCAACTGGCTGTGCTCTGTCTCACCCCACACATGCCGCACGCACGGCATGCACACGCACAGCACGCACACACATGGTGCACACACACAGACGTGAGCAGTGCTATGAGGTTTCATTCACTCAGTTCTTGGCTCTGCAATTCTAATGACTGACCTGTCTTCACCCTGTGGTGGCTCTTTTTGGAACCGGCTTCCCAAGAAGTTACTGGAAATGTGTCCAAGGGGCTCTTCTGAGCTGGCCACTTGGACTGGAAAGCACAGAAGCTGGAGGCCTGGCAAGGCCGCCTGGTCATCTACCCTTTGTTTTGAGACCCACCCCACTGCCATCGTTGAAGTGTAATGGAAAACAGAAGTGGCCCGATGGCAGGCAGAGATGGCTCTGCTGTGACAGGGGCCTCCAAGAAGTCCAGAACAGAAGGCTTAGTCTGCACCTTGTCCCCTCCCTCGTGAACCATGATCCAGGGCGTGCTCCAGGGCCCTGTACCCACAGAACCTATCCCCACTTCTTCCCTATCTCCTGCCCTTGCCAGCCCCACCTGGTGGTCACCTGACTCTCTCCTTTTTAAAAAATTTATTTTGTCAAGCATTTTATTTTGACATGAAGATTGACTTGTCCACTTGCTGGATCGAATTTTCATGAGACTGGCCCATACACCGGCACCAACTGTGCTTTCTCATCTGCCTTTGTGTTCAGACCCTGCGCCTGCCTCCTGAGTACCCACTGCCAGGCTATGTGGATCCAACAGTCCTACCTCAAAGCTCTTGCTCATGGGCCGCAGGACCGCCTGGCCTGCCGTGCTGCCATTTGGCCGCGGAGGCCAGCTGCATGGTGCCCTCAAGAGCTGCTTGGTGCTGTTCCAGCTTCCATGTGGCTTGCAGCCACCCTTTGTGGAGGCCTGGGTCTGGCCTCCTCTCTCTCTTCCTGGAGTGCTTTCTGGCTCTGCTTCTCCTGGGCCAGAGCCCCATCCAGAGCCTTGAGGCAACGCACAAGTCCTGAGCTCTGTGTCCAAGGCTGCTCAGCTGCCTCCCAGCCTCCACTTTCCTTCAGAGTTGGCTGTGGACATAGATAGCCCTGGTGGCCCCAGCGTGGAGCTTGGGGCAGGTGCCTAAGACTAAAGAACGCAGAGAAGCGCAGCCTTCCTGGGTTTAACACCTCAGGGGGGCCTGCAGCCAGGTCAGGGGAGATGTGAAAATGCAGAATGGCATGCCCACACCTGCAGGTGGCCCGCTCCTAACACTGAAGAAGGAACTTATCGATTCATCAAGGTGGGAAGGTCTGGCATTTGGGAAGAAAGGACAGGTGGTGGGATTCTCTTCTGCCATTGAATTTCCTACTATCTTGCAATGCGGTGACATTCCTGTATGTAAATGGCATCAAGAGAAGGCTGGGCTGGGCAAGCCAATCTGTGGAGCAGCCTATGACATGGAATGAGGCAGTCTGTATGCCTTTCCTCTCACAGGCGTCCATCAGCACTTCACCTTACAGAGCATCCTGGCTCCTGCTTCAAGGCGACGGAAGGCCATATTCCACGCCACCTTTCTCCCATCCCAGCCTTCTTTCCTGCCCTAAGCACTATGTATCCATATGTTTGGCTGCATTTCCAGCGCTGTATGTACT